TCACTTAGGGGTAGAGATCTATAGGTGGCCCAACATGTTAGAGGGTAATTGAACAATGTCAAAATAGGGTGGTCGTTGTAGGGGTGGTAATGGATTGGTGGGAACTCGTAAAGGTGGTTCAAGTCGTGGTCTTTTATCACCGATCTCGTTGGTGTCTTCGTCCTCGTCACCACGCTTACGTATAATTCTAGCAACATGAACAGTGTTCATATCTGAGGTATCATCGTCAGACAGAGCTTCAAGACTCACGCCGTCGATAGAATCACGATATTCAACCAAATCGCTGTAGAGGTCACACCTTGTGCCGGCATCAGCAGGATTCTCGGCAGAGGCCACATAGTGAATTTCAAACTGGCGTCTTCCCATAAGGTAATGAATAAGGTCGATAGTTCGTTGAAGTAGAGTAGATTGCTTACCAGAAGTAGAGACCTTACCAGAAGCTAGGGCAGCATTAGCTGTACGATTGTCGCCGTAGAGGATGATCTTCGAGAACTTCTTATTGGTATCGAGCTCGAAGGAGACAAGAGTAGAGAGAGCATTGTAGGCAGTAGTGAGTTCCTTCACGTTAATGTGCAAGGCTCGCTCTTGAGTGGACCATTTCCACTGCTTTTTGAATACCACTTGGTTGTCCTGAATGGCCACCATCGCTCCTAAGAGTTCGGAGGAGTCGAACCAGACATGAATAGGTGCATCTGGATGGATGTACCGGTGCGTCGGAGTTGGAGGGTTGGCCTTCAACAGTTGTTGCCATCTTCTGAGCAAGTCCATAGCCTTATCGTCCACATCGTCAGTCCATTTGTGGTCGTTCACAGCTCTTAATCTTGAAACTAGTGCAGTCAGGCAGTTCTTGATGATGAGAATGTGCCATGGTAATAGGTCCCAAGCCTGCCATAAAATATTGAGGAGTGATAGAGCTTTTTTATAGGAGACTGTGCAGGAGATGTCGAAGTCGACGGCATCTTTATACTTGTAGGTAGGCAGTAGAAGAGAGTTACCATTATCGCAAAGCTCATGTCCGAGGACTAGTAAAC